AATTCACCAAACCAACATACTCATACAAAAAGTGATTTCTGAAATTCTCACAAAAACATGGCAAAGTCCCTTTACACCTCTGGTCTCAGAGAAATTTGGAAAGCAACCCAGTGGAGTCATTTACAGTCTATCTGTCTGCTCTTAATCACAGTTGGGACTGGATGGGAGGGAATATCATATGATGAATAAATAAAATATCAAAAGGTCAAGTAAATATCAACTTAAAAAAAAGAAAATCCCATGACTTTCCAAAGTAAATTTAAAAACATTCAAGGCTAAGTGTTTCCTTTCTCCAATTCCTTTTCCCCTTAGGCTGTTCATTTCACACCCGGAATTTGAATCTTCCACATGTGAGTCCCACAAGCATGAACCACACACTAAGTGGGCGGAGCCTACATCTGCACAGCGGCTTCTCATCACCTCAGCTGTAGAGATGTCCAGTTCCTTCTCCAAGGGTCTCCTCTGAAAACTGGTTACTTCAGTTACAACTACTACCCTGGATAATGTCCCGGGGGCTATCAAATTATGTTTGAAAAGCGTACTTCTAGAAGGCCAGAATAAAGGGAAATACCACCCAAGCCGGCTGTCCTGGTATTCATGCAGACATTCCATACTCTGAGGGGAGACGCTGTGGCCCGAGAGCCTGAGGGAAGCAGCAGTGTACCCACCATCCCACTCTGCTTCCCAAGCACAGCATCCACAGACCCAGAGGGGCTTTAACTGACTCTTGGGCTGACCATACCCACGCAAAGGCGGTCACTGTTTTATAAACTGGGCAACTGCTTTAGAATTAAAGTCACCACCACAGCCACCTTGACCATTTCGAAATGAAAGGTTTGCTTCCCAACTCACACTTCTCCTCGGGCTTTCTCCTCTCTGGCAATGGCCTAAAGATACTTTTAATGTTTTTCTTTCAAAGTCATTTAAAAAATATTTTTATTTACTTATTATTGTGGTGCTGGAGACTGAAATGAGGGTCTTGTACATACTAGGCAGGCTCTCTACCATAGGGCTACATCCCAGCCCTCTTTCAAGGTCAATTTTGTACCTACCTGAAAACCCTGATGTTTAGGGACCAATTAGTGATTTGGGGTTCCCCCTTCTTATGATTTTTGATTACACTTTGTATCAAATATTTCAAGTGCACACAACGGAACAGAGAAGAACATTAATAAAATGAACACCCATGTACCGTGTACCAACCATGTAGCATGAAGCTAACATTTTGCCATATTTACTTCAGCTCTTTGCCCAGAAGTTTGTTGGAGTTGACATCCATTTGTGTATCACCCCTCACGTATCAGAAGGCTTCTACCTCCTCTTCCCAGATACAGCCACTTCCCTGGTGTTAAACATGCTCATGAATTTTAGAAACATTTTACACAGTCAGTATTAATAATGGATATGCACATTGTATTGCATGTTTTTAAACATTATATAAACGGCACTACCATATACAGTTATTCTGCAACTTGCTTTTTCAGTCAGCATTGCATTCATTGTCATTTTCATTTTGAATTCCAGTATACGAACACAACCATAATTTATTTATCCATCCCCTACTGATGGACAGTTAGGTGGTTCCCACTTCTTTACTCTTACAAACAATGCTACAGGAAGGAGGGCTTGTCCACGTCTTCTTGGGTGCACACTGGAGAGCTTGGAAGGAATGGCCCTAGACGTGGGCTGCAGAGTATGCACATCTTCACCTTGTCAGACTGCTCTCCAAAGAGACTGTGCCAACTTATATTTTCTCCAGCCGAGTATGAAAGATTCCTTTGTTCCACATCCTCTCAAACACTTGGTAGGTATTATGAGGTTTTTAAGTTTTTGCCAATCTGATGGATACGAAAGAGAAACTTGTAGTTTTTAATCTGCATGCCATGTGAGGATAATCATGTCCTCATAAATGCTTACGGACTATATATGGATCATTTATTTTAAGATTTTCAACTTTTACATTCTCCTTTTATCCGATCATCACCTTCACAGTGGTTAACATAGAGACTCTGTATCCAGGCTGTCTGGGCTCAAGTTCTGGCTCCGTGTCATCCACCTTGCGTCTTTGGACACTTTGCCTCCCTCAACCTCAGTTTTCTCACCTGTAAAGAGGCAGCAGCACCTACCTTCCACGATTGTAAGAGCAAATATGTGTGACATATCAGAACAGGACCAGCCATGTTGTAAGACACAGTACATTTTTATCATTTTGGAGAATAATCTTGCCAAGCTATTTTTAAAAACTGAATGCTGTTTAGTGTTTTAACTTATATTTTCTAACAATTTTAGGGATTATGTCAGAAGTTTTAGCATTCATGACTTTAATCCTCTATTTTTTTCAGTATTAATTTAAAATATCTCACTTCTGGTCTCTTGCAGCTCAATCCTTGCTTTTACAATAGCACACAGGAAGCCTGGCCTTGATGAACGACTGAGGAGTGCATTCCTGCCCAAACTGGGGGAGAGTGTATACTTTACCCCAGCTGTCAGCCAGATTCCATGGCAGACCCAGGAGCCCTCAGATGCGAAAGCTTTGAAACTTCTCAATCTCAAAACTCAGCTAGAAGCTCTCCTCAGGGCATGAGTTCTCTTGTATTGGTGGCACAACTCAATTACTGATGAATGTTCCTAAGTCATATCATCTACACTTGATTAGGAGTCATATATACTATAACATATATGCTATATTTTCAGGATTTTGAAAACATTCCCTTTTCTTTTCTTTTTCTTTCATTTTTTTTTAGTACCAGGGATTGAACTCAGGTCCTTGCACTTGCGAGGCAGGCAGCGGAACCACTGAGCTAAATCCCCAGTCCAACATTCCCTTTCTTACTTAGCAAATTGTATAAACAATCTGTGAGAATGCAGGAAACACCAGCAACACTGGTGTGGCACAGCTTTGTGTATTAAACAGGTATGCAATACATATTGGTCTTTGCCTAGTAAGAACAAAGGGCTCTCAATGTTACTGACCGGCCTCTAGTGAAAACAGATGGTGTTCAACCACAGACTCAACTATCAGGTCAGGGGACTTATCCCACTCTGTCTTTACCTCACCAAACTTCCTGGCTTCTGTCTTTCTGTTTCCATCCTCCTGTTGCCACAAGGTTTCAGGAGGATCCTCCTCAGGTGTCTGGCATTCGGCACTTAAGAAAGATCAGAATCACCCTGGCTTGCTTCTGCTCTTAGAGCTGGAGAATGCATGACCTTCTGGCCAGCAAGCTTTCAGATAGGTGCCTCAATTCTCATAAGAGGCAGCAAGGTTACAAACCTATTCATCTCGTTTTAACACAGATTTACCTCCCAGCAGCAGATTACCGGCAACTCTTGGCCTAGCCAGAGGCAGTAATCTAAAGACATCTACTGCTTATTTCTTGTCAGAATCAGCTGAGAACAGCAGTACTGAGGAAGACCGTGTCAAGGCCTTCCACTCCTCTAGTCCACACAGCCTCAGATTATCCATGGCCAGAGCCATCAAAAAGCTGCATAACATTAATACAGCGGGATTCTCCAAAGTGGATGGATTACTGGTGACTTTTATTTTCTTCTTTTAAACTCTAGTATTTTCCAAATTTTCTACCATGACAATGTGTGCTGTTTATAATTTAAAAATACAGTAAATGTTATTTTTTAAAGCTACATACTTGAAATATACTACCTTCCCCCCATCCACCCTCCCACATAAGTGATTTTACTGAAAAACAACTGATAACAGGAACTCTGTTTTTGTGATTTCACAAAAAACTTATTTGTGATACCAAAAACTGCATTTTCAGAGATTTTCCAATGAATTTTTCTGGGAATTTTCTCTGCCCTATCACTCAATTAACATTATAAATAATCCACATAAGAAATTTATTTCCTAACACACACTTTCACCCAAACAACTGGTGTTCTGCTTCTTTGTGAACAATGAGAATTAAGGAAGTTGTCAAGTTTTCCTTTTCATTTTGGGCAACAGAAGGTTAGAGGAAAACATGTATTGTACCTAATATCCATGCTGGACCGTAAGCCCACGCAGCCTGGTTCTGAGGATGTCAGGGTCTAACTTGGTTTGTAGTTGGCTGTGTTGTGAATATTCTTTTACTGTGTGGATGTATTCTGGATTCCACCCTACTCTTCTACAGTAAGGCAGGACACAGTTAAATATAATAGTCTCACTATGCAATATTAACATTTACAATGTGTCATAAAATTTTAAAACTGAAAGGCAATAAAATCATGGTACAGTCTTTCTTAATCTTTCTAAGCTAGTAAGAATTCAGTTGAAATTCAACATAAGGAACTATGAATTAATTATGATTCTACACTCACAGTAATACCATTTCACTTATGAAGGATATTTACACTTCACTTTTGCATGAGTGTGGGGTACCAGGTAGTGAGGATTGAATTTAGGGCTTTGTGCATACTGGGAAAGTGCTCTACTGAACTACACCCCCTCTGCCATACTTAGTTTTTCATACCCAGGAAAATAGAGAAAATATAGCAAAATGGTTCTTCCACAACTATACAGATAAACAGAGCACAAGAATGGACAGTAAGTGATATAAGCATAGAGTGATATCATCAAAATATATCTATGTTCACATCTTGGCATCACTACTCACTAATGGTATGAACTGGTACACAGGTAAAATACGGAAAGTAACACAATCACCTTATTAAGGTTTCTGTGAGATATACATGAAGCAAGGCCAGGGATTTAGCTCAGTGGTTTCACCACCTGCCTCACGAGTGCAAGGACCCGAGTTTGATCCCCGGTACCAAAAAAAAAAAAGCTATACATGAAGTATTAAAAATAACGTAAGATATGGTTACACTCAATCAGCTGCTGCTGTCACAATTATCATATATATAGCCTACAGAGCTCTTTGAACCATTTATTTCTGCCAAAGAACTATTCAAAGATTTTCTTACATACCTGAAAACAGAAGTGTTTCCCCGAAATAGGTATTTAGCACAGTAATTCAGTGATTGGGGTACTTAAACCAACTTACCTTAACTGTCCAGTATGAAGAAAACAAAGAGCTCGGTTACCATAAAGAAAGTGGTTGTCAGGTCTTAAAAAGAAGAAATGTTTAGTCAGTAAAGCACATTATAAAGCACATTATATATGAAACTAGAATAGTACTGAAAACATAAAGCATGAAAAAACTTTAAAATTTGCCATCTGTTCAGTAGAACAGAAAGAATATATATGATATTTAGTCTTAACTGGCTATATCTCAATGCCTCAACTTTCTCAGTAACCATACCCAAACCAACCCTGTATTCAAAATGAAGATAGATAATGATTGCTCTGTCCAGCTCACAGGGCTGCTGTGAGGATCCAAGGAGACACACTAACAGACTAGCCAATTGCAAAGCATGCTGTAATTGCAGAGGACAGGGTCACATAGGTAAATCAGGACCATGCCACCTCGACAAAGAACTCAAAGCCTGCAAAGTCTAGCAGTAATGTGAACAGCTGTATTTCAAATTTCGTTCCTTTTAGCTTTGTCTGACTATGTGTGATCAAAACTAACTCTCTTTCCTCCACCTCTTCCTCAGCAGAGTGGTGCAGCACTTGTGTGCTGCATGCTAACTCGGCTTCCTCATTCCCTGTAGAGATGAGCAAAGGTAGAAAAGGGAGCAAGGGCTGGGGATTTAGCTCAGTGGTTTTGCCACTTGCTGCCAAGCGCAAGGACCCAAGTTCGATACCCAGTACCAAAAAAAAAAAGAAAAGAAAAGGGAGCAGGGCCTGCACAGCACACTCCAAAGGCTGCTCCACTGTGTGGCCCTGCCAGGAGAATCACCAGGGGCAGAGCGAGCACACCAGGCGGCCACAGAATGCTAACAGCTAAGGAGTAAGCTGGGAGAGAGAGCACATGGACTTTTAACTTCAACTATTTTCCTTTTAAAGTTCCCTCCAAAAAAGCAAACACTCCTGAATGGGTGGCATTTTAAGTATTAAGAACTAATCCTCCTGATACTTTGGAAGGAATTAGCTGATTTCAAAATGAGAGTAAGACAGAATAGATGACTGTGCTGGACGACTTGAAAGGAAATGGAGCAGGCTACCTCCATGCTACCACTGCCTAAAGATGAGAAAATCCGTTCTGCACAGCCAACTAGAAGATACTGTAATTCCTCATCTTGCTTTTAATTTTTTTTGTACCGGGGATCGAACTCAAGCCCTTGCGCTTCCAAGGCAGGCAGTGGAACCACTGAGCTAAATCCCCGGCCACTTTTACTTTTCTTGACCAACATCGTCTGTCATCTTAAAAGGATCCCATTTTCTATCTTACACTTACCTATATTCGATGGCTCTGGTGTAATAGATAATAGCTATATCAAATCTTTCATTGAAAAATTCTTCATTCCCTTTTATTTTCATGAGCTCTCCTTGCTGAGAAACCAAGGTGAGAAAGAGCCCATCAGTCAGTTCCAAAACAATCAAGAACCCAATACCCAGGAAAAATGGTTCGGTTTCTATCCTTGACTTCAGAAATAACCTAGGAGAGTGATGGTGAACCTTTTGGAGATGGAGTACCAAACGCAACCCAAAAGCCACTTATTTATTGCAAAGTGTCAACACTGCCAATTAAACCTGAATACTGAGGTTTGGTTTAGAAAAGAACTCATACATTAGCATCTTTTGTCTTAAAAGAAAATTAAGTAACATACATGCCATAGGTTCACCACCACTGACCTAGGGGATTATTTATGTCGAAAATGAGAGTGCAGCACGGTTTATACAGTCAGCCCTCTGTACCCATGGACTTTACATCTGCAGGTTCAACCAAGCACAGATCAAACTATTTGGGGAAAAGGGTCTGTTCTAAACACACAGGCCTTTCCCCTTGTCACTACTTCCTAAAGGACACGGTACCACAGCTACCTGCACGGCATTTTTATTGTGCTAAGCAATACAGTCTAAGGAGAACCAAAGGTACAGAGCATGTGCACATGTTTCTCAGCACCTACCCGGTAAATTTTCATATGGGACAGGGGTTCTTGCAGATTATGTTATCAGAGGGGGTCCTGGAACCAATTCCCCTCAGATACTGAGGGGCAACACTGTATTTCACATTTTTTTCTCTGATGACTCAATATTAACTTCCATAAAGAAACATTAAAAAGTAACCAAAACCAGCACATTATAAACTAAATAATTACTAAAAAAATGTTTTCTTTGGGTGCAGTATTGGGCAGGCATACTCTTATATATACCTTGTCTATACAGAAGGTATAGCAGCCTAAAAATGAGATACAAAGCAGAGCCCCCCACACACTAGGGACTGAACCCAAGGCCCTCCCACTGAGCTATATCCCTAGCCCTCTTTTTTTCTGAGACAGGGTCTAAGCTACCCAGACTGGATCTGAACTTGTGACCCTTGCCTCAGCCTCCTAGAGCACTAGGATTATAGGTATGAGCCACCACACCTGGCTGCAAGATAGAATTTTAACTTTAGATTGCAAATGTGATATGCAATAAACTTTAGCGGTTAAACATATAATTAGTATCAAGCAGGCAATGTTCATTAGGTTAACTCCAATGACATGGCAGGTTTAGAAGAAAATATACGAAAGATGCTACAGATATATTCAAAACTTTTTACTTCAAACACTCAAATTGTTTAAAAATGGATTAATTATTTAAAAGAAAATTTTGGGACCTGAGTTCGATCCCCGGTACCAAAAAAAAAAAAGAAAAAGAAAATGGATTGGTATCAATGGCTTTAGTAAGAGAATTCCACAGAATATTAAGTGTTTCCCTAAATCGTTTTTTAAAAATTGAGTTAAAATAATCATTTCTGAGTGAACTATATGGCATGTAATTGTATCTCAGCTGTTACTAAGGTAAATCATATTTCCTCACCTAATTAAAAGCCTATGGGGCTGGGGATTTAGCTCAGTGGTTCTGGCGCCTGTCTCGCAAGCGCAAGGTCCTGAGTTCGATCCCCAGGACCAAAACAAAACAAACAAAAAAACAAAAGCCTATGGTTGGAAAAAAAGTCGAATTTTAGTTTTCAATTAACTTTTTTTTTGGTACTGGGGATCGAACTCGGGTCCTTGCACTTGTGAGGCAGGCGGCGGAACCACTGAGCTAAATCCCTGGCCAATTTTCAATTAACTTTTAAGATTAGAAAATTCTGCTTATTTCTTCTTTTAAAAACTTTTAAATAAAAATTAACCAAAATTTTCCCTAGAACATGTCATTCAGTTTTACAGTAGTTCCTTATATGCTGCCAGGTAGCCATTTTATTATTAACTGATTAGTAATAGTCCTGATCACCAAAAGGTCTAACAAGCAAACCCTAAAAATATTTATACGTAAATATCCTCACCTGTATACAATGAGCACAATTTTGAGTTTTAAATTCTTCAAGTAAATTGCAGTTTTCCATTACAACTTTAGTTATGTGATACTTGTCTATTTTTAGGAGAGAGACAATATTTGTTAAAAATAAAAAACAGTATTAATGATATTCTAATTCTTAAATTAAGCAGTTAAGTCCAAAACCTTAATTTCATTATTATACTTAAATAGCCTAAGCTTCTTTTAATTTTTGTATATTAAATAATATATTTGAAAATGGTAAAATGGTACAGAAGAGATGTGTTTGCTGTGAATGTGATCTGTTTTTATTTTTAGCAATTAAAATCCCCTTTACTTATTATTCACTAGCTGTAGTGTAATTACAACAAATGGCCTGTCACAGCATATTCCAAATCGGTCTCGTAATTACCCAAGTCACTGCTACAAACACTATTGAGTCCTTACAATGTATCGACACAAAACTGGATAAAGATATAAAACACAAAAACCTGGGGAACTATTTTCTGTTTTCTTCCTTTCCATTCCCTCTCTTTTCCTTCCCTCCCCATCCCTCCTCTCCCTTTCTCTTCCCTCTCTTCCTTCCTTGATTTTGGGGCTAAGTGAGAGAGGATCTTGCTTTGTAGTCCAGGCCGGTCTTGAACTTGCTACGTAGCCCAGGCAGGCCGTGAACTGGCAATCCTCCTACCTCACCCTCCCAAGTATGCAGAAATCTATTTTCTAAAATTTATTTATAACTAAGTATTTAAAATGTCTTTATTCAGTGTCACTTTATAAATGAGTGGTAATAATAAGAAGTTATTTGAAATAATATTCTTTTTTTTTTGTACCAGGGATTGAACTCAGGTCCTTGCGCTTGCGCAGCAGGCAGCGAAACCACTGAGCTAAATCCCCGGCCCTGAAATAATATTCTTACAAAAATTTCACAAACTATAATAAGTACCCAAACTTGGTGTCAAAAATTAGGCCTCATTTTTTGCATTTTAAGCTATTATATAAAAAGGATTTTTAAAAATAGTTAAAATTTTTATTACAATAAAATTATAGCTAAGCCTTTAGCCAAACATATTAATTTCCAAGGCAACAAGAATAGCTGAAATTTTAAAATTCAAAAAAGGATCTGGGAATGTCAACAAGTAAAGTAACACTAAGGGAAAGAGCAAGACTACAGGAGGAAAACCTGGGGTTTTCAGAGTCCTGATTTGTCATCTAGGTTCTACAACATACCAGAAGACAGAAATACCACTTAACCCCTCAAAGTCTTAAGTGCATTCACTTCTATGACAGATAGTAACAGCCACTGTGCAGGGCTATTATAAAGAGGGGACAGGAAAGAGAATCAGAAATGAGCCCACATGGTACTACCAATGATACTGCTTCTTTACTTCCACCATAAAATCTAGTGTATGGTCATTCATGAGATGCAAATTAAAACAACACTGAGATTCTATCTCACTCCAGAAAGAATGGCTGCTATCAAGAAATCAACCAACAACAAATGCTGGAGGGGTTGTGGGGAAAAAGGAACCCTTCTCCACTGTTGGTAGGAGTGCAGACTGGTGCAACCACTGTGGAAATTGGTGTGAAGATTTCTCAGAAAACTAAAACAAGAGACTCCATTTGTCCCAGCTATACCTCTTCTTGGTATCTTCTCGCAAGAACTGAAAGCATCATACCACAGTGATATCTGCACACCCCAGTTTATGGCAGCACAGTTTGTAATAGCTAAATCTTAGAAACAGCCCAAATGCCCATCAACTGATGAATGGATAAAGAAGATGGTTTTTATACAATGGAGTACTATTCTGTCATAAAGAAAGATGAGCTTCAGACATTTATGGCTAAATGGATGGACACTGAGATCATACTCTCAAGTGAAATAAATTGGACACACGTTTAAATACTGTATTGCTTCTCTGGTGTGAGAAACAAAGTGGAAATAAGGACTGAAATGTATAATTGATATTGGGAAATGGGAAGAAAGTGTTTAAATGGGAAGGGGTTCAAACAAGGGAGGAAGGAGAAAGGAAGGAAGGGACAAAAAAAATTGAAAATAGATGGAAAACATGGAAACAAAGCTTTTGTACATAGGGAGGGGAGGAGACTTGAGAGGGAGAATGGGATAAAATAAAATTTATTTTAAAAATAATAAAATAAAATAAAATCTAGTGTGTACTTAAAAGCCTCTGAAACAATAAAGCAAACTTCTATCAGTGAATACATCCCAATCTCTAATAAACCTATCAGAAAGATGTCTGTATTCAAGCATAATTCCTCTCTATTATTAAGTTATTAGCAAAATTTGTCCTTTTCTCAGTGGAGATGGCAAATAACTGGTCATTACCTACTAACGAGCCAAGTATTTCCTGTTTCAAAATTTCCATAGCTGTACTATGAAAATACTGCTGACATTCAAGTTATTTAAAGAAAAAAGCATTTAATAAAGTAAAAGAAATATGTAAAGCAGTTTCTTTATATGTAAAATAGCAGATTCATCTGGAAAATGAAAATCATAATCTTAAGTTACTGTAATTTTTCCTTTTGAATAAGAATACATGAACCTTGGGTGTGGACTCAATCAGAGTATGATATATAGTAACTTATGATATCCATTAGGCAGGATTTTTTAAAGTACGATGTCAAAAAAATCACTAAGTCAGTAATTGGAGAATAAAACTAACCAACTATATTAAGTTACTCTTACTCAGGGAATATAACAGAAAACCAATTTTTTAAAATTCCTAACATAAATCAGAAATCACATTGAGTACACATTCCATTTTCCCAAATAATATCTTTAAAAACAGTCAACAATTTAAAGCACTTATACTTACATTCAGTAAAGAAAATTCTCAATAAAGGCCAACTAGTATCAACTGATCCTAATTTAGGCAGAATTGTTACATCACCTGTGTATTTTATCCAATTTAAAGCTTCTTCCATTGCCAACATTTTCTGTTTCAAAAAGAGGAATAAAGAATAGGATTTGGGTATTAATTCTATATTTATACGTGGTATTATCAATTTATCTTACACAGTATTTTCAGATTCTGAACACAAAACTTATACACCCCCATTATGTTCATTATTACACCATCAATGGAGAATAGCTAGACTGCAACACCCAAGTTAACAGAAATATGACACAGGTATGTTACATTTCTGGGTGAACTCAGGGCATCCTGAGAGCTCAGGATGCTTCTGTAATAAGTACAAACTTTGAAGCTGAGGTCTGCAACTTAGCAAAGTGCCCTAGGTAGCAGGAGACCACAACAGGTGGATCAGGGTTCTCAGATCTCATATAAACCAGGGCTTCCACCTTACCCCAAGCTTTCAGGTGTAGATTAAGGTTCCCCATAGGGACTATATATTTTACATGGCCCATGGCAAACAAGTATCACTGAGATAAACATCAAGAGAAGGGTATGACTGGGTAAATGGACACCAGTACAATGATTCTCATGAAAGGCCAAGAGTCCACAGAAATATTACTCTTCTAGTGTCTTAAGTAGAGGTTAAGCAGTTGAGCTTTTATCATTGGTATCAGGCTTAAGGGAAACAAGCCGGCACTTATATTATTATTAGCATTAAAAATCAGTTTATCGAATCTGGAGATCATCTAGCAATTATATATCAAAAAACATTCATATCAGGGACCTGACAATTTCATTCTGGGGAATATATGCCAGGTAAATAGTCTAAAAGGGAAAAAAGAACTAACTTGTAAAAGAGGCTCAAAATGACACTACAAATATGAGAAAAAAAATGAAAATGAGGCAAAACTGCTAAATGACATCACTGAAGTAAAATACAAAAATCAGTATTACAAAATACTACATATAGCACTGAATTTAAGGACTCAATATATGAGAAAATGACCAGTGAGATGACTGCTTTTATTTACAGTGAGTGTGCTGGTTTCCAGTAGTTAACACTTACATTTTCTATTTTATAACCAATTTTCAATAAGCCTTCAATAAGGAACGAATCATTCTGCAAAATAAAAACAAAAAGAATAAAACACATCTTTTCCTTATTCCACCAATTATTCTTGAATAGTCTAATGAAAAAAATCCTTCATTTTAGGCTCATGCCTTGCAGAATGACATTTTGGTCAGAGGGAACCACAAATAGGACAGTAGTCCTATAAGATGGCATAACAAAGCTGAAAAGTCCCTCCTGTGGGACCCTGACGCTGTGGTGACATCAGAGCACAATGCAATGCACTGCACATGAGTTTGTGTTGATGCTAACATAAAGCTTAGTGCCCTGCCGGTCACATAAAAGTAGAGTGTGTACAATTACAGAAAGTTCATGATACTTGGTAACCATAAAAAATGGTGTATGCATTTACTGAACTATACGTTTTACTGCCATTTTAGAGTGTACTTATTTTTAAAAACTGTAAAATAAATGGCATGTTCTACAGTCGCACAACTTGTGTTTACTGTGCCCCTGCATCAAGAGAGCCAATCGAGTGACTGACCTATCCCACCCCACCTAGGTTTGAGTATTCTATGATGAAACAGAAAATGATGCATTCCTTAGTCTGTATCCTTATTTTTAAGCAAGGCATAACTACATGACTGTACGTACACAGGAATATACTTCCCATAAACAATGTTCATTTCACCTGTACAAACCCCAAAACAAGAATTCAGAAAGTCTTCCATAGACTCTAGTGATAAAATGATTTTGTGTGACTTGTAGATATGTAGATTTTTAAAGTTCATTACGCCTAAGGCTTTTTTATAAAGGTACACTGCTTGCTATGTTATTGCAAAGGATTAACAGCGGGAAACAAACACCAGGATGCTCTTGCTAAGACTTAAGTGTGAATCAGAATAGTATCAAGAACAATACTTGGCTCCATAACCAATTGAAACAGGAAAAATTATCAAACGGCCCATCACTTTCAGAACCTTTTACAAAGGTTCTATAAACCAGGGCCCACTTTCATTTGTGACAAATTCAATTTCTATCCTTTAATGACAAGAAGCAGTCCTGGTCCCTGCTATGCTATATCAGAACCATGACATCAGCTATCTACTGGTGACCTCATAGAGAACACTCACAGACAACAGAATAACCTCAGCTTTACAAAAACTAAGACCATTATGTGTCAACTGCTACAAACTGGTAATACAGGCCTGACACCATACATTTTTTTATATGTGGGTAGGAGAGATCTGTATTTTACCACTTACCGAAACTTTCTTTGCCAAATCCACAATATCTTCCATCAACTCAAGACACTGTAATTTCCTCAAACTTATCTCAGAAGCACAAGAATTGCTTAAAGAAAATTTTTTAAAAATCAGCTTCAATATACACAAATTTATTGAACTTTATGCTTAACTGTTATATAGCAACTAAAACTATCTTTAAAAAGTAAGTTCTTTTTTTCTTCACTCTAGGTTACAATAAGTTAGCTATTTAGTAAAGACACCAAATATTGCTATCATTTTTTTTCTCCTGTACTACAACACTGGTATTTGCAAAGGCAGATAGCTCCTGACTCAGCACTGAACCCAAGATTTAATACTATTCAGAATTTATTCATTATAATGTTCATTTATATTCAAAACCCAAGCATTAACTTTTTCTACCCAATTAAACAAAAATAAAACTGAACAACCTGCAGGAGTGAGGCATCACCCTCTGCTATGGTTTGTGTTTGGATGTCCCCCCACGCAGATGAGGTGGGACTTTCTTCTTCAGAGGTAGCTGAATCTGGACTGTGTGATGCTGGGGTTAAGGGTGTGTGGTTACTAAACCACTACTCATGAATGATTAGTTTGGCACCACCCTAATCCTGGTAGTCTGAATAAGATAAAAGGGGCTGAAAGATGCTGTTAAATCTCTCCTTACCTATGCTGCCTTGTGTGTGCCATGTTGTCTCTGGACTCTGCCATGCCTTTTTGGCATCCCTGCCTTGGAGTAGGCTGATTATAGACTGAAACTTCTATGAACTGTGAGCCAAATAAAACCCTTCCCTTTTAACTTTGGGTGTCAGGTATTTTGTCTCAGCAAAGACAGAGAAAGGAAACTATCACACCCTCCCACTGTATTTGGCATTCCTTGGTGCCATGTGAAACACTTACTGCTGTTCATACAAGAGAACAATGTGGATGACATACCTGGGCTCCACACAGGGATGCAATCGTGATATTACAGAAGTGTGCTGATGTTTAAAAAGAAGTGGCCAGAAGATATATATTTTAATGGCATCACAGTAATCGTGCAGGTCAGAAACTGGTTTACTACACCATATGTTGCAGATGTCAAATTCTTAATTAAAATTTTAAAAAAAGTTTAAAATTAGTCTTTGTGCCTTACCACTGAATGAATCAACACTATTAACATAGAAATGGTAAAAGGGGATAAGAAAAGGCAAGAAATGAATGGATGAGATATATTAACTGGTTAATACTAAGAATATTTAAGTGTTGGCTAAAACTCCTTTATTTTTCCTTTTGGTACCAGGGATCGAACTCAGGACCTTGTGCTTGCGAGGCAGGTGTGGCACCACTGACCTAAATCCTCAGCCCAAGCATACATTTTTAAGAGGCATAACTCTTCAATTTGATCTGAATAGAGGGATGGACTTCCCCTTATGGATGTGTCGATAAACCCACATTAACATACTAATATACTCACCTAAATTTCTGTCTGTTTGGGCATAATCTTTATACTGTGTACCCTAAAAAGAAGAGAATTATTTTTATTTGTATCTGGTAAAATGGAGAAGTACAATTCTTGATTTTTAATATAGAGCTTAACAGAACTGAACTAAGAATTTTTTGGTGCCCATTTACTTAAATATCTGAACACGTCTCTAGCCGATGTGCCTTATGTTCAGACCTCTTCACTGTTCCTCAGAGTCTGTTTTATGAGCACCCCAAGAATTTTTCTAATCCCTGGTAAGAAGCTGCACACGTATTGCCCTCACCTGTGCTCGACACCCACAGTCTTACTACTGGAGTGCTCTTTTTCTCTTCTGATATGGATCTTCCATCCACGTGCCACAAAAACATCCTTATACTCAGATTACCCTAAAGCGAAAGCCTAGGACTCTGCGATCATCAACTGTTGTGCCAACTGGTGTAAGACCAGGAGACCCACCCTGCATGTGAGTGGCACTAATAAACAGGCTTGAAGCCTGGACATGGTGAGAAAGGGAGAGAGAAGGAAGGTTCCCTTATTTGCCAGAGGAAGAGTTTCCTCTCCACAGTGGTGAGGCTTTCCTATCCCCACTCCCTGCGGAGCTGCTCTCTCCTCTTTCCTGCGGAGACTAATCCTGGGCTGACCAAGCATGATGATGGTCACACTCCGCAGGACCCACCCTCACTTCTGCCTCTAGGCCTATAACTAGGCTCAAATCAAATCGCAGAAGGCTCCTAAAGGTGAGGCACAGAGTGTGACTCATGACGAGGTCCACTATTGTTCCAGAGAACTTCTTGGGTTTTCTAACTCTTAGAAGAAGAGGCCTGATAACAGTGTGGGAATGGACTTCAAGGATGTGGGATAATGGTGCCAAAAATATACACCTGGATCAGGCTGAGCTTGTCAATATGGGCCCATTAAGTAGAGATTCTGAATTTAATGTTGTAGCTTGTGGAGCAAAAAAGGTGTTAATAGCTCGCTGTGTCTGGCTGGGTGACAGAGGCATGGATGAAAAGATGGCCCACTGTGAATGAGTTAGAAATGCCTGATATTCCTTAGTTTACTCCTCATGAAGGGATTTAAAGGCTCAGGGAAATGGGAATTCTAGAGTGGATTTGTCATGTTAAACCTTATCTTTGACACTGGGATGATCAGAAAAATGTACCCTTCACTAACACTTTGAGATTCATGAGGGGAGCACCAGCATCCCTAAAATGCCCTGTCACTGCTCTTCTCTATGTGCCAGACCTTACAGAGGGGACTGTGGTTACTCAACTGGGAAACTTAAGGGCAATGGGTTTAACTGGACCTCAGAGCGGTAGGGGTCAAGTGGCAGCACATAACCAGCAGACATAATAAGGTCCATGCACTTACCATACTGGGTAGCAGAAGCAGAGCAATCAGTGGAATGGTTGGACACGCACAGACCTACGGTGTTAGCTGATTAGCCACAGTGTTCCCAAAAGTGAAACAGACAGGCAGCTTATTAAGTTTTTACTAGATTTAATATTATCAAAAACTTTAAGGGCAAATGAAACCTATTTCAAACCTACTTCAAATCATAGTAACAGGGAATCACGGCTCCTCATCAATCAGTCCCCAAATTTCAGCCAGTTTACAGATCCAGAACTCCTTGAATGAAGGCAAGGCCGGGTTCCCTTGAGGTCCCTGGTGCACCACCAGAAGTTTTACAGTCAGTCTTTCTCCCATCCTTCCCGAGGGGACCTACGGCCTTTTACCAGGGTAACTGTACATTGGGGTAAAGGAAATGAGCAGGTATTTCAGACTTCTGGACACTGGTTCTGAGCTAACACTGATTCCAGGGGATCTAAAACATCATTACGGCCCTCCAGTAAGAGTAGGGGCACATGGAGGTCAGGTGATCAATGGAATTTTAGCAAAGGTCCAACGCAGTGGGTCCAGTACTGTAGGTCCTCAAATCCATCCTCTGGTCATTTCCCCTGTTCTAAAATGCCTAACTGGGATAAATATACTTAGTACTTGGCAGATTCTCACATTGGTTCCTTGACCTGTCATGTGAGAGCCATTATGGTTGGAAAGGCCAAATAGAAACCATTAGAGTTGCCTTACCTGGTTAAATAGTAAACCAAAAACAGTATCATATGCAGAGATTAGTGCCAATACTGAGGACCTGAAGGATGCAGGGGTGGTGGTTCCCACTACATCTCCATTGACTTCTCCCATTTGGCCTGTGCAGAAGACAGATGGGTCTTGGAGAATGATGGTAGATTACCATGAACCAAATCAAGGGGTGACTCCAATTGCAGCTACTGTACCAGATGTGGTTTCCTTGCTCTCCTGGTACAGTTGTACCTCGGTTCATGAACGCTTTTGTTTGCAAACAATTTGGTTCACAAAAGCATTTGGCAAAATTTTTTGTTTGCAAACTACATCTGGTGACCATGGCCATCTTTCCTATACAAATACAAACATGGCCATCTTTTCCAAAATCATGGAACAAATTAAGTTCACTAACCGAGGCATCACCGTACTTGGAATGCAGCTACTGAGCTGACAAATGCTTTCTTCTCCATACCTATCCACAAAGCCCATCAGAAACAATTTGTTTTCTGCTGGCAAGGCCAACAATACACCTTCACTGTCCTACCTCAGGGTTATATTCGCTCTCCAGCCCTGTCACAACTTAAGTTTGTAGCAATCCTGATCATCTTCCTCTTCTATAAAATACCACACTGGTCCATTATATTGATATCATGCCGATTGGACCAAGTGAGCTGGAGGTAGCAACCATTCTGGATTTGTTAGTAAAGCATTTGTGAGCCAGAAGGTGGAAAATAATTCCAACTAAAATTCAAGATCCTGCTACCTCTGAAATTTCTAGGAGTCTAGTGGTACAGGGCATGACAGGGATATCCCTTCTAAAGTGATATCCCGTCTAAGTTGTTGCATCTGGCTCCCCCCATAATCAAAGAAGAGGCACGAAGCCTAATAGGCCTATTTGTAATTTTGAAGGCAACACATTCTCACTTAGGTATTTTGCATCGGTCTATTTACTGAGTGACTCAGAAAGCTGCTAGTTTTGAGTGGGGCCCAGAACAAGAGAAAGCTCTGCACCAGGTCCAGGCTGCTGTGCAGGCTGCTCTGCCAATGAGGCTATATGATCAGCAAAGCCAATGGTACTTGACGAGTCAGTGGCAGGTAGGGACACTGTTTGGAATCTCTGGCAGGGCCCCATAGGTCAATCACAGCAGAGGCCTATAGGGTTTTGGGAGCAAGGCTCTACTGTCATCTGTAGACAACTACTCTCCCTTTGAAAAACAGGTCCTGGCCTACTTCTTAGTGGAAACTGAACAGTTGACCACAGGACTCCAGGTTACTACGCAACCTGAAGCTGCCCATCATGGGCTAGGAACTGTCTGATTTACCACATCATAAAGTTGGATGTGCACAGCAAAACTCTATCATTAAATGGAAGCAGTTTGTACATGATTGAGCCAGAGCAGGTCCAGAGGGTACAAGTAAGTTACATGAAGAAGTTGCCCCGATGCCCATGGTTCCTAATCCTGGTATATGGCTTTCTGTCTCCCAGCATGCATCTACAGCCTACCACATGATCAGCTGTCAGAGGAAGAGAAGGCTAGGGCCTGGTTTACAGATGGTTCTACACATTATGCAGCCATCACCCCCAAGTGGACGACTACAGCGTTATAGTCCCTTTCCAGGACATCTCTGAGGGACAGTGGTGAAAGGAAATTTTCACAGTGGGCAGAACTTTGGGCAGTGCACCTGGTAGTAAATTGTGGCTGGAAAATAAAATGGCCAGATGTGTGACTGTATACTTATTCATGGGCTGTAGCCAACGGTCTGGCCAGATGGTCAGCAACTTGGAAGGAACATGACTGGAAAATGGGTGACAGATATCTGGGGAAGAGAAATGTGGATAGACCTTTCCATATAGGCAAGGGATTTAAAGATATTTGTATCCCAGCAAAATGCTTACAAAAAAGTGACCTCAGCAGAAACAATCAAGTGGATTAGGATGACCTGTTCTGTAGATAGCACTTAACCTCTTTCTTTAACCACCCCATCACTGCCCAATGGGCTCATGAACAGAGTTGCCATGGTGCTAGGCATGAAGCTTATGCATGAGCTCAGCAACATGGACTCCCACTCACCAAGACTGATCTGGCTACAGCCACTGCTGAATCCCCAGTGTGCCAGCACAGAAACCAGCACCCAGTCCTTGACATGACACATTTTCCAGGGTGATCAGCCTGTGCCCTGCTGGCAGGTTGATTATGTTGGACTGATTCCATCATGGAAAGGACAGCTCTTTGTCCTTACTGGCATAGACACTTATTCTGGGTACAGGTTTCCCTTTCCTGCATGTAATGCTTCTGCCAAAATTACCACCCATGAACTTACAGAACGTCTTATCCATTATCACAGAATTTCACAAAGCACTACCTCTGACCAAGGAACACATTTAATGGCTAAAGAAGTGAGGCTCATGCTCATAGAATTCACTGATCTTACCATCCTCCTCACCACCTAGAAGCAGCTGGATAGAAAGGTTAGGAAGATGGATAGAATGGCCTTTTGAAGCACCAGCCAGATGGCAATAGCTTGCAGAGCTGGGGCAAGTATCTTCAAAAGGCTGTATACACTTTGAATCAGCATCCACTCTATGGTGCGATGTCTCCCATGCCAAGATTCATGGGTCCAGGAATCAAAGGGTAGAAGTGGGAATGGTACCACTCAACATTACCCCTAAAATTCTTGCTTCCTGTTTCCATGACCTTATGCTCTGCCGGCCTAGAAATCTTAGTCCCAGAGTGGGGAAAGCTTGTATGTACTAGGAAGCACAACAATGGCTCCACTGAACTGGAAGCTAAGACTTCCCCCTGGTCATTTTGGACTCCTCATGCCTCTGAATAAACAAGTAAAAAAGGAAGTTATGCTGTTGGCAGGGGTGACTGTCCCAGACTATCAAGGGGAAATTGAACTATTATTCTACAATGGAGTAAAGAAAGAACATACTTGGAGTGCAGGAGATCCCCTAGGGAGCATCCTAGTATTACCATGCCCCATTAATAATGGGTCAATCAGAAACTACAGCAACCCATTCTAGGCAGAATGACAAATGTCCCAGAACCTCCAGGAATGAAGGTATGAGTCACCCCACCAGAGAAAGAACCTATAACCTGCTGAGGTGCCTGCTGAGGGCCAAGGGAATACAGAATGGGGAGCAGAAGAGAGTAACTATAAATACCATCTACAACCCCATGGTCAGTTACAGAAACAAGGATTGTAATTATAACAGTTCTCTCCTGATAGGCTTCCGATATAATACTGACAGACTTAATATTGGTTCTTAAGTATTGCTAAACCTATATTATAATGTTCAAATTATAAAATGCTAGGAGTTATTAGCACCATCCAAAGAAAACTTGCCTTCTATTCTGGGGACGGAATTAGTGCATTTCCATTGTACACAGGATAACTGTACCATCTTAGGCATAGTTATGAACTTCTCTTTGTATCTGGAGACTAAGTATGATTTAAGGAAATGTGTCTAGTTGTCAAGGTGACAAGGGGTGGATTGTGACAGTTAACTGCTATGTCAACTTGAGTAAGAAATGCCTGACTGACTGGATTAGCATAGTTCTGGTGTGGCTGAATGGATTTATTGAAGAGGGAAGACCCACTCCTGGGTGTGAGGGGCACCAAACAATAGGCTTGAAGCCTGAATAGAATAAAAAGGGGAAGAAAGAAGACTCGCTTCCGTTTCTTTGGAGAAGCTCCATCCTTCACCTTTGCCTTGGATGGCCATCTCCTGACTTCCAAGACAGATTCTTCAGCCTTCCATCATAGATCCTTCAGCTTCCTAATACCTACCTGCACAGGAGTCTACAGTGAGGTCCAGGCCTTTGACTTCTGACTGGATCCTTCAGGTCTCCAGTGCACACACAGCCTGGACTCTTCCACACCTGACTCTGCAGGAGGCCATTGTAAGTCTACCTTGTAAATCTGTATGTGTGCGTGTGCAAGTATGTATATGTGTGTGTATATATTAAATCTGTTTCTCTAGTGAACACTGACTGATACAACATCATGTTAAAAGTAAAACGTAACAAGCCTACTTACCACTCCATCACAGTAAAGCTGAGTCACATGAACATAATTCGCTGTCATAAGTTCTGGAGCAAAGGCACACTCATCCTCGTCAGGGCAATCATCTAACAAGGCATAATCCGCCATAGAGAGATCTCCCTCAGTAAAACTGTCCATGGTTCACAATCCTAAGGAAACAACACACACCCAAATCAGTAATTAATTCCTCAAAGATCTGCGAGCAGCAGCTTTCCTGGCTTCTGTACTGTAGCAGAAAAATCTGGAACCCTCCAGGGGAGGAACTCCAATCAGAACACTGAGCTCTGCAAGATTCTTGTCACTAATCTGCTGTCCTTTTTGCTCCCTCAAAGAGTTCAACCTATCTTCATTTTCTTAGGTTCATATATGCACCATCTCTACTCTGAATATATCTGTGTACAGGTTTTAGAAGGAAGATAATTGTGACCATCTTATTTATTGTCAGCGTGCCTAGCACACACTTATTATGCCCTAAGTGTTGCTGAATATAAAGACATTTTCCCATTGATGAGCCTATTTACCTACCTACTTTTACTGTGTCCCATGAAGTAAGCTGTTTCATTACACAGCAACTCCCACGTTCTCAACCTCCTGGCCTGAACTAAATTGTGACGCCACTGACAAAGTGCTCCTAAATTCCTATGTGGCCTAAGCGTCTCTCCGTGTGTCTCTACCCTGGGTGAGGGGGCAGGACCAGAGCGGTCCAGGGTGAGTCTGTCAGTCTCTCCACTCCCCACAGCTACAGCCCAACCTGCCAACCTCCTAACCATCCCCGCTTCTAACACTCTCCCAGCTACCACAAAACACGACTACTAACCATAAGGGGGAAAATTCTCATGTTATCAAAAGACATGTTTTAACAATACTTGATAAGGGAAACTAGGGCTAGAGTCAGACTTAGATTTTTTTCCCTGAACAAAGTTCAACAATGAGAATTTTTATAGCTATTAGGGAAGAGGAACACTAAATAGCACTGAAAAGTGGAGCATTACATTACTTCTGGCTCTTGCCCACATAATGGCTTTCTTTTCCTATCACCACCAGCACCATCATTAACATTTCATATAGTTAGAACAAACCAAGTTTCTTTTTTCCTAAGCAAGCCCACCATCAAACCGTGAAAGAGCTATGTTTCTTTAACCAACCTTTATATCAAACTTAAAGTATGAAAACCTCACAATGTCAGAAGTAAAGGATAATAAGCTTGCTAACAAACTATCTGTGTTGTGTCACCCCATTAGCTCACACAGCAGTTCTGGGCAGACACACTTAGCACGAGTTCCACTCTACAGATAGGAAAACGGTCTGCAAAACTAAGTGATGTGCTCAAGGTCAGCAAGCTAGGAAAGAATCAAAGCCAGTCCTCTGATTCCACAGTCTCTTCCGCGAACACGGTATTTTACTGCATCTACCTTCCCTTGCCACTGCCACCTATGTCCTTTTCAAGAATAGTGCCGTGTACCTCCTTTCTCCTCCCAAATTCCACCAGGACCCCAGCCACATCAAGGCCGATCCAGTCAACACCCCAGCTTTGTAGGTTTCCTCCTCCGCTAACCTGAGCCTCAGCACTGGTCCCCTTGGGGTCCCCCTTATCAGTTCAGCCTCAGGCCTCTACACAGACTATACCAGTTTCCAGATGCTTCACGCAGATGAACGCTTCTCTGCCCACAAGTGGTTATAACAGCTCACCCTTCCCTGCCTCTCTCCACAACTATTTTTTAAACTCAAGAACCCCCAATTAGAGTTCTCCATTCTCACTTTCAGTTTCCTAGAATTTAGTTTCCATTTCTATCATTCAAGGGAAACTACTTTCATATTGAAGGTCATTAATGACTTTCCATAACAGAATAATTATCTATAATGTCTGAACTTGACCTGTTCTGCATGAACGAAATTTCCAGTCTGAAAAACCTAACTCCAAAAATGAATGTCCTACTGGGTGTGGTGGTGCACGCCTATAATCCTACCAATGAGGAGGCTGAGGCAGGAGGACTGCCATGAGTTCTAGGCCAGTCTGGGCTACACAGTGAGTTCAAGGAATTCATAGCAAGACTTCGTCTCAAAAAGTGAATTCCCAGAAAAAATAAAACAACACAGCACCCAAAGGCACATGAGATATGTTATAGTGAGAAATGTATACTTCTAAAGTCACTTTTCTTACAAACTTTTATTTGTATGTAAATACAGGAAGAGCCAAGAACTTTCACAGCCCACATACCACTCACACCCATCATGATGTTGATTACAGTACAGCTGGCAGACTGCCTGGCATTCAGCCTTGTAGATGTCATGATACCATATGGAGCAGCAAACTGTCCTGTAATTACAACAACTATTTTGTTTCAACAAGTGAGGCAATGTGGTAAAATGGTTAGAGCATGGAATGGCGTGGGCTTGAACCCTGACTCTCCCGTTTCCTGGTTGTGTGGTCTTGGCTGTTACTAAAATTCTCTGAGCTTCAGTTTCCTCATATTTCAGGTGGGGATAACAATACAACCTACCTTATTAATCATGTAATATACATGTAATGTGCTTGGAAGCCTATGAGACATAAATGATATAAATACCAGCTATTATTAAGATTAATATTAGATGAGTACTTTTTTAAAAAACCTACTGTTTAAGATGCTTCCAAGCTTGGGCCAGGGATTTAGCTCAGTGCCACCACGCCTGCATTGCAACTGCAAGGTCCTGAGTTTGAGCCCCAGTAACCAAAAACAAAAAAAAAACAACAAAAAAAGATGCTTCCAGCTAAACAGTCAACCTTAATGATAAATCCAAAAAGCACTTTTCAGCTTATGACTTATTTGGTGCTGTGGACCACGTCCTCCTCCTCAGAACTCTCTATATGCACTCCAAAGACCATCTTCTGAGTCTCCTATCCATCTGGCTGCTCTTCCCCAGTCTCCTTCATGGGCTCCTCTCCACACCCCACCCCACACGTTCACTCCTTTTCCTTCTCATTCTTACCCTCTCCTTGGGTGACCATTTCCACCACACTCATGACTTAAACAGCACTTTCTGAACTTTCATCATTCACATAGCATTGCCATAAATCACAAATTTTTTACTTAATATTTCCCTTTCATTCCACTCACTTGAGCTATGTGGTAATCTCCATGCTATAAATTTGATGTACAAGTTGTGTTTATCATATACACATTCAAGTAAATTTCTGTTAAAATTTTTCAAGAGTTTGTCTACGTACCGCTTAGAATGAATGATCTCATGTGATACTGTAGAAAACAATGGCTTCCAACTCCCAAACCTGAAAACTCCCAAATCTCTCCAGGCCGGGTTCATCTCTTGCCTTCTAGGCCTTCCATGTCAACTGCTACTGGGTCTTAACCAAGATGTCCCAAAAGACCCTCAGGTTCACTAAGTTAAAAACAAACATCTTTTTCCTCAAGAATAAGTGAGACCGAATTCTTTCCTCTTTCTGAATGGTATTTATCAGTTAACAGCTCCACATGCCACATAGTTCCCCAAAAGAAAAACCTGAGGCACAACCTATACTCCCCAGGCTCCTTCAACATTTCTATTCAACTGACCACTAAATAATGCCATTTCTACTTCCTTAAGAAATCTAAATTTAGCGCCCATAAAAGCTCTTTCTGCCCAGTGCCACTCACTGTCTTAGTTGTACCTTCATATTTTCTCCTCAACTAAGGAAACAACCACTCTCCTAACTCACGTCCTGCCTTTACTCCTGGCATCCTTTAAAATTCTGATATCACTTTGCTGCTTAAAATCATTCCACGCCTTCCCTTCTCGGTCCGAAAAAAGATCAACCTCCCTACCATGAGCACAGACAGTCCTGTGTGATCCTCTTCCTTCTTCTATCTCCAGTCAGACCCACCTGCTCATCATTCCTAAGCAAGCCTACTCTACTCGTCTAAGGCTGATCAGCACTCGGTACTCAATTCTGGAACCATTTCCTGCTCTTCCCACCACACCACGTTTATTGCAGTTTTCACACAGTTTCATCATGACAGCTTTATCTCTATAAAGTCGCCATGCACCCAGAAGATACACTATGTAATCTGCTCACTGCCTGTACTGTTATTTAACTTAAAATTTTCCTTTAGAAAAATCCAACTTTTAATTAAATGTAAACTTGTTTTAATAGAAAACCTGCTATCACCAAGAAATCTTATGTGTGGTATGACAGATTTTTTTCTAATACAAACTGAAATATACTACTTAAGTTAAATATTAAAATAATGGACTTGTCAAAAATAAAAATATAATAAAAAGGACTTCTAATCCCTTCAGTTATGGTGAACTAGATGTTGAAGGAATCTACCAATGTTTTTTTTAAAAAGGGCTTAAATTTAAAAAAAATATTTCTGGTATTGGTTGGGAACCCTGGACCAGAAGTAAAATGTGGGGACTGAACAGGGGCCCCAGTTCAACTCCCTGGTTCCTTCTCTGAGCCAAAGCTGGTACAAGTGCTTCCAGAAGGAAAGCACCCCCAGGTTAACCTCAAGACTCCTACAGATAGAACAGGTGTTATCTGCTATAGCCAAGCCCAGGAGGTGACAAGCACTACCTCCAAGGGAGAAAGACAACAGGAAACAAACACCCAATTCCGATCCCAAGGACAGGAGGCTTGAGACTGCCTCATAGTCTATGGTTAGCTATGGGTTCACGAAAATGAGCAAGCAACATGAGGCCAGAAACAATGACTGAGTGTATCTGAAAATGACCAAGTGGGACCTCTAGAAATTAAAAGTATAATTGTTGAAGTTTTTTTGAAGGGTAGGTTAAAGGGAAGATTAGGCAAAGAGGAAGAGAAATGTGGTGAACTAGAAGATCAGCCTGATGAAATTATCTGGCCCTACAAACTCTGCCAAGGAGAGACAGGAGATGAAAAGTATAGCAGAGGAAGAGTCACTGATGGGCAAACAGCTTAATATACGGATGTCCAGTTAAAGCTCCACAGGGGCAAACAGATAAAATCCAAGAGACCACAGTTAAAGAACACAGGGCTCAGAATGTTCTAGACCTTATGAAAGACAAAATTCAGAATTTTAGTATACATGCTGCTGAAGTGAGCACAAAATTCAAAGTTTTTAAAACATATTCAAAACAGGATAAATGAAAGTAATTTCCAGGCCAGGGATTTAGCTCAGTGGTTCCAGCACCT